GAATAGAATTCGATTCGCGATTTGAAAAATGAATCAATCCTTACCGATGTTCGTCTTGGACACATTGAGAATTTCGGTTTCTTACAAAAACCACACGATTCACGGCAATTTTCCTCCAAGAACTGTCTTGATTCACTGTGACATTTGCCTTCCGTTTTCCATTGCTTACATGCGACATGGCGATCTGCGCAATCTGAAGCATTCATTTGTGACCGCATCCTATCGCACACCATCGAATGCTATTGAGGCAACGAGGCTAGTTCAAAATTCTCGCTGAATGATTTTCTCAACTTTGAAGCGAATACTCTCATAAGTCAACGATAGTCATCTGCAACTCTCAATGTCTCCGTTTATACTGCCGGGTATTTTTCATGAACAACCAAAAACAAAACTTCAGTGAAGAAGCAGATGAGAGATTCCTGCGAAATGTGAAATTGGCCGTGAACAGTGAAACAAAACAAACCGTCCTTAGTGCTATAAGCTGGTTTGCAGAATCCACATGCTGGGGCGCAGAAGTGCTTCATGTAGCCAACACTAATTTTGCACTCGCCATCGTTGGCCCATAACTCGCAACACGGATTGCGGTTGAAGCACGGCACAAACTGACGTGATCCGAATACTTTCTTCATTCTCACCAACTGATTATTTGATAGGCTCGTTTCAGGTACGAATGACTGAAAATGCATTCAGATGCAAATGATGAAATAAAGGAAGCAACTGGATCACGAGAAAAAAGCATCGTAGAGTTAAGTAAAAACAACGATGCTGCAAAATGAATCGCGNTTGTTTCATCTCTTAAAGCGCTTCCTGGCTCATCAATTCTGTTCAGTCGCTTGATTTATTAAAAAATTTCGCTTGTTTCATTAGTAGAGAAAATAGATCTCAACTAGCTCTCATTTGTTGATATCATATTTTGATCTAATTTTCCAATACTGCCAACGTTTTCTTATTTGAATGCTTCACCTACATACCATCTGTACTGATCATAAGAATGCGATGTTTTTTGAAGAGTACCTGCGGCACTTGTCCCGGAATGCATCGTCCGTTCATGCAAACACCATTGAAACATGCGTCCATTCCTTCGAAGCCCGCACAATTACCGTATAGCTTTATTTTGGTGATGCAGAACGGTATGGCACCTCTCCTATTGCAGAACAAGTAGGGACTATCGCAGGAAATCGTTTCAGTACATCCGGGACGTCGTGCGTAACGATACATCTGATCAGTGTACATATTCGAAAGACCTGAATTGAACTGCCGAGTGATAGTTCCGAAGTTTATTTTTCCTCTGCATGAAGAAGGATTTTTCGAAAGCAACAGAAAGCGTGGCGTTGAAACAATTCAACTTTCTTTATCAAAGTGCGCATATGGACATTTCCTCAACTCTTCTCTGTTAGCCAATTTATTAGGTTTCAATTAAGAATAGTTTCGAATCAAAGAATCGGTTTCTACAGTGATCCTATCGATCTAAAATTATGACTTTCATCTGTTGCACTCAAAACATCGTGCAGTATTCAAGAAAACAAAAAAAAGAAGTCAACCATCCAAATTGATCAAATTGTAATATGGTCGCATTGGTGCATAACTAAAGTGTTGAGGGTCCTCACACAGTGCTATATCCATAGCATATTCCTGAAACAGAGCAACATTAGGCTAGCATCAAAACCCTCGCAACGAGAAAAACTTCAGCTCACAGACAAAGTGAATATTTCCAGACGCTTTCATCAAGCCTAAAGATTAGTCGTTGAGATGCTTGATCAACTTACCCCGCTTTCACACTTTCCCCTTTACAAATTCAGTTAGCAAACAATCAAATTCAATTTTGTTTACTAACGCACCTAAGTTGCACTGCATTTGCGTGCAATATTACATCACACCATCAAAAAGTGTTTTGATAAATTGATGAATGCTGGTTGAGCACGAAAGGAAAGTGACGAATAGTTCATGAATTTGATACGCGATCAAAACGAATTGATACCGTTTCTCGGGCTTGTGCTGTTTGATGGGTTTGTCGCCAAAGTTCCCAAAGGAAGTCGACAAACGCATGATACGGATAGAAGATCGGGTCGTTGGCAGCCGTTGGTGGATCTCTCATATGACCACCAACCCATAGGTGAACGTAAGCATGCATGAATTCAAGTGCACCCAAATTCACTGGCATCGGACAGCCTGCAATGAAGCAGTCACAGCTTTTGAGCGGTCATAACGGCCTTTGATTTGATCGATATCCTGTATTTGTTGATCAGTGTTTGGAACGTGCGCTAATCTATGATTTTTTGGGACTGAATCAGAAGGGTGGAGCGACTCCTTAAAAAGTAAGCGATTAGCTCAAGACCATGTAGTAATTATAACTTTACCTTGAAGAGGAGCCGTGTAATGAAGCATATCCTCAATTGCTGTCTTTGACATCATGTTTTGTAGATCCCCTTCAGTCCATAGATTACCTTCCTGGCCTAAGTGCCTAAATGGCAGCGAATTCAGTGGATTATTTCAAACTCTTCGAAACATAGTTCCACATCAACGAAGACAATTCACACGATGATGATCTTCTCAATGGAAAATCTAGTATCAGGTACATAAGAAGTAATGTGATTTCTTGAGGTGTTGCTAAGCGAACCGATCGGAACCAATCCTCCTAATAGCGTGACAAATCACCTTATAATAGCTGGATGTCCATCAACTGTACGCCAGTATGCGTACGGGCCTGTGACCACATCACCAAATTCGTCAGCTTCTCCTTCAAAAATGGGACTGAACAAAATTGAATCACGTGGATCTGCCAAATAATTATCCATCACATTATCCCAGTACGGTATCGAAACTTCCGGATCAATTAAGCGAAGGGCAATTTCGACTCTGAAACCATTAAGTAACACGGTCATGATTCGGCACTGGTGTGTTGATACTTCGAAACACGAAATATCTAAAGTTCACAATGTATTAGTGCACAATCGTATAAGTTAGATGCACTGTCATCGCAACAAAAACAATGTGATATCTCAGCATGGTTTAAAAATCCTCATGAAAGTACTGCCTTGCGAGATCCTTAGTCTCATGCAAAAATTATCACTCCACTGATCATGATCACTTCGTTGATATGTTGTGCAAATATGTAGATATCATCAAACGGCTGCTCACCTTTTCAAGAATTCACGATGCCATCCCATAAATCCAGGACCTGAATGCGCTCCACTTCCAGTGCCAACCTCAAAATGTTTTTGTCAATGAATCGTTCCGTCAATAATTTTCTCTCACAACTACTATAATTTCAGTTTCCATGCAGCTTCCTAAAAGTGCCTCGGCAAGCAATTGGACACGATATTGTAAGATTTCGGGCTGACAAGAAGGAACTTTCGGATCTGAAATTGTGGCAAGACAGAGGAAAAACAACTGAAATTGAAGTGGTTATGCCAACACAACCCAAATGTGGCATCATTATTATTGATCCAAAATCGCGTAACATTATGAAAACACAGAGTAACAGTAGACAGAAGGAGATGCAAACTGCTCAAAGGAAACCACAGAAACTTACTAGCAATCGTGACTATTACCTATTTGAAGAAGTGAATTATTCGAAACTATCAATTCGGAATTTTTTCACGAAATCAATTCAGAAAATTCACCGAGAAGTGTTCAATACAAAGCCGATCAAACTCGCCACTACGCTTCAGCACAGTCATCGCAGCATGATAGCGATTGCGTTCAGTTTCACTCAACATTCTGTACTCACGGCGAAGCGACATCTTCAACGGTTTACCGTTCGGAA